ATTGTTTTCTTTTCTAATAAATCGTTCATGATGTCCACAGAACCTGTCTCATTATACAAATTACATACGTAGATGTTTAAAATAACATGCATTTCTCAGTTTGACAGCACTAAGTGTATTTGTATTCCACCTTAATAATAATGATGTTATTTGTTACAAAATATGCAAACATTTTGGCCAACACTGTACATGGTAAATCATGAGTAATAAAATATCCTGCACATATAAGAATGTCCAAATCTATGAAATTTTCATATGAACAACAGGAAATATTCATACTTTGCTTATATTTGTTAATAACTTTGGATAATGTATAGGTAGTACGTTGAATAATATTACTTGGTTAAAAACTGCATACAAATATAAACGTAAGAAATAGACAATGGTTGGTGTTAATTATATAATTTTTCTTCGTGACATTATTTCTTCTGAAAATTCGAACTAAAACAGTGTTAAAATTATTTGCTTGTTATTGTGATACTCGTAGAGATTTAGTCTATTTTTAAATATTCTTATAATTCTAAAACTCTTAAAGTGAACTGTTTAAAAATGCTAAGACATGTATTCATTATGTTTTCCTGTCAAAACTTATAGGTGTTAAATTACCTGAAGGAGTTAAGGAGTCTGCTCACGTTTTTGGAACTACTCCGGTAAGAGATTATTTCACAGTGATTTAAATATATAGAGGGAACTATCATGTAATCAAACCTTGGACATCGCTGTAAAATTGTTTGATTTTGGATTTCAAATAAATTAATAAACGACTAACTTCAGATTTTACACTGCATATATTATTTTATCAAAGTATCAACAGTAATAAATTTTAAATAAATCAGCCCTATATTTGATTGATTAGTGGTTTTAGTTTTCTATACATGCACTGCTTCTATATATTTTCTATCAAGAAATGTTTTCGTTCTTTCCAGTGCTATAGATGTAATTACTTCTGACTGGTAAGTAATATTTGTTTAGTTAAATGATATTCGGCAAAACGCAACAATTGCTATTACCTCAATTATGTCCATAGCATTTTCTTAAATTCTAAAACATTATTCCCTGCCAGTTTCTAGAGTGTAGTGTTTACAATACATAGGCCATGTTCTGAAATCCTGGAATGGAGTATTTTTTACCATTTTCTCTAATTTAATGCTCACTATATATATATATATAGAACAAGTTCGGAAATTCTGAAATCTCACCATTTTATTAATTACCACATAGAGAACATGTATTAAAATAGTGGTATGGATTTCTTTCCTAGTCTTTTCAATGTATTATTTACCACATTGAGAACATGTATTAAAATCCTGTAATGGAGTACTTTTCTAGTCTTTTCAATGTATTATTTACCACATTGAGAGCATGTATTAAAATCCTGTAATGGAGTACTTTTCTAGCCTTTTCAATGTATTATTTACCACATTGAGAACATATATTAAATTCCTGTAATGGAGTACTTTTCTAGCCTTTTCAATGTATTATTTACCACATTGAGAACGTATATTAAAATCCTGTAACGGAGTACTTTTCTAGTCTCTTCAATGATTTCCCTGGATTTCTCTGCTAGCCTCTCTAATATTCACCATATATAGAGGGTGTACTGAAATCTTGGTATGGGGTTCTCTTTACCACATTGAGAACATGTATTAAAATCCTGTAATGGAGTACTTTTCTATTCTCTTCAATGATTTCCCTGGATTTCTCTGCTAGCCTCTCTAATATTCACCATATATAGAGGGTGTACTGAAATCTTGGTATGGGGTTCTCTACCAGTCTCTCCAGTGTATTATTTACCACATTGAGAACATATATTAAAATCCTGTAGTGGAGTACTTTTCTAGTCTCTTCAATGATTTCCCTGGATTTCTCTGCTAGCCTCTCTAATATTTACCATATATAGAGGGTGTACTGAAATCTTGGTATGGGGTTCTCTACCAGTCTCTCCAATGTATTATTTACCACATTGAGAACATGTATTAAAATCCTGTAGTGGAGTACTTTTCTAGTTTCTTCAATGATTTCTATGGATTTCTCTGCCAGCCTCTCTAATATTCACCATATATAGAGGGTGTACTGAAATCTTGGTATTGGGTTATCTACCAGTCTCTCCAAAGTATTATTTACCATATACAGGACATATTCTGAAATGATGGAATATAATTTTCTGCCAGTCTCTGCAATGTAATGTCCACCACCTACAGATCACGGTCTGAAATCCTGAAATAGTTTTCTTCCAGTTTTTGGAGTGCAGTGTTCATCATATAGAGAACATGCTTTGAAACCGTAATATGGATTTCGTTGCCAGTCTGTTCAATGAAATGTCACCAGATACAGAGGTTGTACTGAAATCCCGGTAAGGAGTTCTCTGTCAGTTTCTCTAATGTAATATTCACCACAAACAGAACATGTACTGAAATGATGGAATAGCATTTTTCTACCAGTCTCTGCAATGCAGTGTTTACCATATGTAGAACATGTGCTGAAATTCTGCAGTAGAGTTCTCTGTTAGATCCTCCAATGTATTATTTACCACATACAGAACATGTGCTGAAATTCTGCAGTAGAGTTCTCTGTTAGATCCTCCATTGTATTATTTACCATATACAGAACATGTGCTGAAATTCTGGAATAGAGTCGATACACCCAAAAGAAAGCTAAAACCAAATCGTTGATGAAAATAATATAAGTAGTGTAGTGTTTGAAATTTGTTCTTTGTTTATGTGTTTTATAGTAAAAAAACTTTATTCAGCATTACTCACTTAAAACACCAAAGTTTTGGATTTTTTTTTTCAAAAGGAACTCCAATCTGATATCGAAACTTTAAGAGTACACTTTAATTGAACCTTTTACTGCAAGGGGTAATTTTCAACCATACGTAAAACTGACACAAATAACCGAAATTCTATCATTTGAGTAATTATAAGGTCAACTTATTAGTAACGGTAAAAATGTAACTGTTTTCAGTTGCATATTGAAATCAATCCCTGCACTAATTTTCTGAAAATTACATAAAAATCTATAAACAGGAGGTCTACAATTTTCTGTTTTTCTTTCTTCCGTAGGATGGGCACATCTTCCATGTCGCTGCTGTCACCATTCCCGGGTTATGCTCCAGGTAACTTGTGGTTCGGAACGATTATTTAAAGCCGGATCAAGTTGTGTTAATAATACAACCCCATTTTTCTTTCTCTTCGGAGAAAGTTTTGAACTAATCTTAGCCGAACAACTGAACTAAAGTCTTCAACTGTGTAACTGTAAAAAAGAGATGTTTCAGTTTGTAGATTTTTCTTTTCTCTCGCCAGGATTAGAAAGAAACTGTGTTTCCTTTTCAGGCTCCATTTCGGACACCTGAGTAGGCCTAACGGGCATATGAATGGTATAACGTCTTGTAGCTCCAATCTGCTGGATATTCTAGGCTATGATATTATTTGTGAAAAACCAACTTATTGTTTTTCGTCTGGTAAGTTAAAATCCTAGTCAAAAAGTGTAAAAAAATAGTTACAAATACTCTTTAATTTCGTTATTTATTTTTTAATACGCATGATAATTGTTTTGCGTTTGACTTACGTAAAATTTTATATAAACGTTAACCCTCTATTATTTGAAAATTGAATAAAAAAAAATATATAAACAGAAGTAACAGAAAAAGAAAAAATAGTCATTTATTAACTATAATCAAGTTCAAATAAGAGTTTTACGATAATAAAGGATAATGTATCACAGAGGAGGGGACGAACGTTTTAAAATATTTTTGATCGTAATAGATATATTACATTGATTTTATTTTTATTGTTATTATAATTACACTTAAAATAGAAATATTTCTTTATATAGTATAGGACGAAAATATAGTGATATTAATCAGATATTCTAGTTTTCTCTCTCCATTTACGTCTTAATCAATGTTCTGTTCATAGTTTAATTAGTATTATCCAAGTTTACATTCTTAATATGTTGTTACAAAAGTTCGCCAGTTTCACAGCAATACAAAATGTACGCTAGGGGCAGGAGCTCGTGTTCGCTTTATAAGAAATGACGAAAGGCCATCATTTGATATCAATAAATAACTTGCATAAGTATTTACCAGTAGCGACTTCGGTGAATTTCGTGGATTCAAACACCTATTTTCTGTTTGCCAGCACCTTAATTGTATAGAGTGTTTCTCAACCTTTTTTTGCTCGTGGCTCCCTTTTGAGTTTGACTTATCTCCGTGGCCCTACCCTTCGTAGACGCTATTACTTGGGAAAAAAAAGTTACTTTATTTCCATACTGTTGATTTATAATATATTTATAATATTATTTTTACAATATTGTATTGTTTTTAAATATTTTGTTTATAACATACTGTTTACTTATACAAGTAAGAAATATTGAACACTTGAAAGTTTTTGAATGTTTGCAGTGTGGTCAGTGATAAGCGACGATCACCTCTCTTCACAACATCAAGGCGGTTACGTATTTTTGATAGCCAATAAGTCACCCGACTAAAACTAAATTCAACCAGATAAGATGTGGAAAAAAGCGATAAAATACAACTTTGCATTCTCCCAGATCTGTGGAAACTTATTAGATATTTCACTACTTATCCAGAAATAATGTTTGTCACGTTTGAATCTAGCGTGGGCTCTTATATCACTCTGCTGCTCTTGAGAATCAGTCAGAAACATTCACAGATATCAGACAAACATTTTTCTTGATAAAAAAGTTAGCACAAAGGATCACATATAAAGTGTAATAAACTTAAAATAAGACCCAAAACTTGAGCGCTTTCGAATAGTTGACTATTCTTCTTCAGGAGAACAAACATTTTAGATGTTACTCGAGTACTACTCGTGTCTGGTAACTTGATTTCTGAGCTGTGGGGGATACGTGGAGAAGGGAACATTCGATTTAATTTTAAATATTTTATTCGGGCAGTGAAGTTTCGGTGGTCCACTCAGAATGTACCATTAATTTTCCATCATTCACGTGTGGTCCCTTAGAAACATGGCGTGGCCCCCAGTGGCCATATGGCCCACGTTGAGAACCACTGGTATAAACTATAACAATAAAATCTCTTTGAAATACTTTCTCATTTTACCTACGCTTTCGGGGGAAGAGGAAGGAGGTACGATATAAAGTTAATTTTGTACTATTGTTAAAATGAAAATAATTGTGAACAATCTGTTTGTGAAGTTTCCATCTCTCAGTGGAGTTACAAAGTGTTGATAACGTCTCACATATTGTACTTGAATATTACTAATTGTTATTGAAAGATATATTTCTAGCATCTGACTTACCCACATGCGGACACTCAGATATACAATCTACACCGACTATTATGGAATCACAAGTTTATATAGTAAATGACAGATAAATTGTTGAAAGTTATTCCCATATAAACTTGTGTTTCCATAATAGTGGATCTAAACTTTATTTTAGATTACTTTACACGGTATTCACCACTATTAAAATTAGATACATACATTTTTACACCACGAAAATATTGCATACTTTTAAAGTCCCTGTATGTAGTAAAGGTCTGAATATAAAATTTTCTTTATGGACAAACTGATTTCAACCACATATATCCTTAAAGATGCAATCTATCTGTTTATGTTATTGTTGTGTTGTTTCTATAGGTAACAAGACCATCAATATACAAGTTACATATATCCTTACAGATGCAATCTATCTGTTTATGTTATTGTTGTGTTGTTTCTATAGGTGACAAGACCATCAATATACAAGTTACATATATCCTTACAGATGCAATCTATCTGTTTATGTTATTGTTGTGTTGTTTCTATAGGTGACAAGACCATCAATATACAAGTTGGTAAATCGTGCAACCATTTCGATTTCGTGAACAGCACTACCCAGGAAGATATAACTTTCTATCCAGTTACAATCAAGTACAATGAGAAACAAGCAAGTGGATTCGTTTTCTATGGGCGCAGGTTAGAAAATAAAAAAATAAAATAAAATAGGTTTTATCTGAAAGTGATGTTAACAACAAACTTATTATGGTTCTTTAACCATGTGGTAACGTAATGGTATTTAGACGTGTATGGTAACCCGATCTTTAATATTCTATAGAAAAGTATGATAGGCCGAAGACATTTAGATGATAAGGATATTTGTAGTAACTTGAGCAGTATATGAAGGTTGTATACACATGTTGTAACCGGATTACGATGATCTGTGTTGGACCTACGAAGACAAGTTTGTTGAGCTGCTTAGAACTTGTCACACATTTCATCTAATTGTATTAAACCCATTAACCTCACGTATGAAACAGCTGTAAAATATTGTGCATGACATGGTGTGTTTAAACACAGCTGTAAAATCACAAACATATATATATATATATACTATACATAAGTTAAAAATCAGTTAGACGTGTTATTTCCCGATTATGAAGCATTCTGAAAATGGAATATTACTTCCTTTGAACCGCTATCACATGAATGATTCTTTCTCACATGCTGCCTCTTGTAATATTAACTATTAGAAATACCAGATAAGTTTTAAGAGCATTATTTACGGCCGAAGGAGGAGCTTATAATGAAATACATTGTTTATTGGTTTTCTAGAAACTCCAGAAGAGCTGTGACGAATTTTCCGAAGGATCCTATAATACTGCCCAACCCCGGTGAGGATAACATGTTATTTAACCAATGTTCATCTTTTGGAACAATAATTTCTCTTTGTGGGATTGAATAATTAATTTTTGTAGAATTTTATTCTAATTTCATATTTTGTCTGGATATTTTAGAAAATGAAACCTAATATGGAAAATTAGAAGAAATCCATAAGACACAATCCGATAAATTATATAATAACTATATAAAAGCAAATTACGAATTATTATCTCATTTGGAAACTAAAATAGTAATATATTTTGTTTTATTTCTTTGGATTTGACAGTCGGAGTACATTAATTTATGTGCAAATAAACTGATTAATTAGGTTTTTCTGTTACAAAATATGTCACATAGAAACCTTGTTAATCCAGTTATTTTTGATTAAGGGTTTAGTCTTCCTAAAAGCCAGAACTTACCACCAGTTTTCACAGACTCTAGAACTTTTAAAATTATATGCCTCTACTTAATCATTCTTCTTGCAAGTTTCAGCACTATATGTTCCTATTTGACCTTTGCATGTTCTTACTGTATATTTTAGCACTAGTCGAATTTAACTTTTGTTTACAATCTTTTAATGTTGCTTGGTTGTCCTTTGCTCTTAATTATTTCTATTGTTTCCATAACTTTCCTCATTCATTTGTTTTCTGTTATTCTGGTTAGTTGTTCCATTTTCGTAGGAAATGGTTCTTGGTTTCGTTGGTAAAATGCTGTTACAAATTATAAATATTTTATCCTGTTTAGTCTGTATCCTATATTAGTTGACGCTGCGTGTTTGTGAATTTATTTGTTTGTCCGCGAAATCATCCCAAACTTGGCAGAAGGACTCCCCCGTACCATGGGGAGCTAATACGCACTCGCAAGGTCACCGAAGAATGTTGGTGGTCCAGAAGTAAGTTTGCAAGGTCGCTGAACTCGAATTATTGCATCGAATTTTGCGTTTCTGAAACCTTCGGAATTCCGGATGTCATGTTTGAACTGTTTTCATACTCACATTCACAGCTAGCGGGACCAAACGTCACAAACACCCTTAGATACCGCGGATGGATACCCTAACAGGGTTTGTTTTTGGGTACAACCACCGATGGTGTAGCTGTAGAAGTAATAGGGAGTAATGGAGGAGCGTTATCGGTATACTGGACTCTCTCTGAATCATGAGGAGACCTTTGATCCTCGCAGCGAAACGCATTCTTGTACACGTTTTTATAAGACTGTTTTCGGTGATACAATTGTGCTAATTCTTTGAGCTAACTTGTAAGGTATAGATTTGCTCGTGCGTTTTAGGTGGGTTTGTTTTGTTTGAACTTCGCGCAAAGGCACACAAGGTCTATCTGCGCTAGCTATATCTAATTTAGCAGTGAAAGACTAGATGGAAGGCAGCTCGCCATCACCACCCACCGCCAATGAATAGAGGGATTGATCGTCACATTATAACGCTCCCACTGCTGAAAGGTTTGTTGGGACGGAGATTCTAACTCTTAACCTTAACCACCTGGACATTTTAAGCGGGAGAATTGTAAAATATCAGTTTCTATAGTTTTATCGTTGTCGATAGCCGATGTGTCTAAAAATGGAAGATGTGTTTCGATATATTCTGTGTTAAATTTTATGCTTTCTTGATTAATGTAAAGTATTTGGAATAACTGAAAGAGTCCTTTCTTACATTTCACCAAGTAAAAGAAGCAGTCGTACAAATATATCTTTCAAATTCCTTAGAATTTATTACTGTAATGCTATAGTGTTTCTATATTGTGTCCTGTAATTAGGCTAATGTAAAGGTGGCATTAATAGGGGCGACTGAAATGCTTATCGCACACCTTTTTATTACTGAAAATACTGAAATATTTCAGTATAGGTTTTCAGCATTAAACGATCCAGGTAATGAGTGTTGTGGAACACATTTGAGAAGGTGATTTCTACGTCAAACGAGTCAGGTAATATGAGTGTTGTGGAACACATTTTAGAAGGTGATTTCAACATCAAACGAGCCAGGTAATGAGTGTTGTGGAACGCATTTTAGAAGGTGGTTTCAACATCAAACGAGCCAGGTAATGAATGTTGTGGAACGCATTTTAGAAGGTGATTTCGACATCAAACGAGCCAGGTAATGAGTGTTGTGGAACGCATTTTAGAAGGTGGTTTCAACATCAAACGAGCCAGGTAATGAATGTTGTGGAACACATTTTAGAAGGTAATTTCAACATCAAACGAGCCAGGTAATGAGTGTTGTGGAACACATTTTAGAAGGTAATTTCAACATCAAACGAGCCAGGTAATGAGTGTTGTGGAACACATTTTAGAATGTGATTTCAACATCAAACGATCCAGGTAATGAGTGATGTGGAACACATTTTAGAAGGTGATTTCAACATCAAACGAGCCAGGTGATGAGTGTTGTGGAACACATTTTAGACCTGGCTCGTTTGATGTTGAAATCACATTACATTCTAAAATGTGTTCCACAACACTCATTGATTTCAACATCAAACGATCCAGGTGATGAGTGATGTGGAACACATTTTAGAAGGTGGTTCAAGAAGTGGGAATTTTCTTACATAAATTTTTTTATATTTAGTAAAAGGTTGAAAAAGTTCGTCTAAAATCAATAATACGATGGTATCGCGATTATTGGTCTGAGTTTTAAATCTCATGTATTTGTTATTTTGACGTGAAAATTTGTTGAATTTGAACAAACTTCATTTATTGATTTCTGTTGCTTCCTTTCAGCAGACCGTAAGAGGTACTTGCTTTGATTTCAAATCCCATCAGATAATGGCTTCTTCCTCTGTAATTTGCTTTTATATAGTTATTATATAATTTGTGGGTTCTTAGGAATTGCTATTGATTTTCCATATTAAGATTCATTTTCTAAGACATCCAGACACAATTATTTGTACTGGGTTTTATTGATATTAAAATTATTTGTACGGGGTTTTATTGATATTAGAATTATTTACACTGGGTTTTATTGATATTAAAATTATTTACACTGGGTTTTATTGATATTAAAATTATTTACACTGGGTTTTATTGATATTGAAATTATTTACACTGGGTTTTGTTGATATTAATTAGAATTCCACCTCTATACGCTTCTCCTTGTTTGTTCTGAAGTTTCCCGAGGCTTGTTTTTTGTTCCCTGGATGGTTGTTTTTTTTACAGAAAGTCTTGATGTTGGTTTAAAGGCTTCCAGTATTTAATTTCTTTTATTAAAATGGTTGATATATGCTATAATTTTCACACATTTTTTCAACAAATTAATAATATAATGCCATGTACCTAGAAACGTTCCTAAAGAACAATTAATATCACGTCATAACTCCCTGAAGAGTCTGTAGATAACACGAAGTCCGGGTTGTAGTGATTTTTTTTCCTTTCATTGTTCTCACAGATTATATATTGAGAAATAAACCAGTAACTGAGACATCGACCTTTGTGTTTGAATATATTCCTGTCCAGCGAGTGTATATTTCCATATGTAGCTCATACAGTAGCATATTTTTTCATGCAGTAGTTCGTATTATTCTCCCTTTCAATCTGTATGAGTAACACGGGTACATAGAGACGATTTCGTAGGTTTTACTAATCTTCAACTGTACTTCTTTCTACCTTATGAGTAACACAGGTATATATAGATACCATGTAAACATGAACACCATTTAAACAGTTAAGTTAACATTTACATCAGAAGAAAAGACTGTGTTAAAAAGAGCAAGACTAAAACCTATGATGAAATGAAACATATTTATAATTGAAAACAAGCCTTAATAAAAATGTAACACTATATGACCAAAATAAATGAAATAACCAGAGTACAAGCTATAAATGTGACACATAAAACGTGTCCTGGGGATACATCGTCTATCAGTGTTAACCCCCATTCGCCAAGTCTTAGATGGGAAATAATAAAAGAGTAAAATAAGAACAAAATAAAATAAAAAAAGCAAGATGTTGGTGGCCACGTCTAAAACGTTGGACATTTATATTAATGTCTGCAAACAGTTGGGGGAAGGTGACCTGTTCACAGAAAAAATATATGGTCCTACTATTGGGGGTGGCGAGTAAAGAAACCCACCTCCTTAAATTGATATTCCAGCCCCATTATGGTAATAAAAGCTCCAGTTAATGAGGTAATATTAGTAGCACAGTAGAAAAATAAAACAATTTGTACTAGAATAATATAATCCTTACCGAAGCATCTGAACTTGTATAACACCCATCCTCCAGATAACTCTGTAAGGATTTCATTTTATTCTAGAATTAATTGTTCTTTATCTACTGTGTTACTTGTATTTCCTGACTAAATTGAACTTTTACTACCATTATGGACGTTGGAATGTCAACTTCAGAAATTCAGGTTTTCTTACTTCCCACTCCCAATGGTAGAACCTTTTTTTTTTATTTTAGAACAGTCACCTTCCCACAACTGTCTACAGATAGTAGAGGGTGATATAAATGTGGGACGTGGTGGACTTGAACATCCACATGTTACTCCCTTATTTTACTTTTGTTCTTCACCTGTGAGGCTTGGCATAGGGAGGTTAAGACGGTGGTATCCCCACTGTTATTTAAGTCCTAGTTCCACAATCACCTCCAAAGGCCAGGGCACGTTTTTGCATTTCCCATGTTATAGCCTGTGTTCTGGTAATTTCATTTATTTTAATTATACAACGTTATATTTATTTTAAGACTTCTTCTGAATTATATATATATGTGCTACTCATTATCTTAATTATAATGTTATATTATTTTCATTTCACATAGTTCACCAACTTAAAGAGCGACATCTTGTGGTATCATTCAGTGATGATGAATGCCTGAACAGTGACTTGACTGGTGGAAAAGGCTCTTCTCTTGGCAAGCTAACGTTGTTGGCAAAACTTAGTTCTGAAAAGGTATTTAGTGTGGCGAATGTTGAACTGATATGTTAACAAAAAGGGGCAAGAATTTCATTTCGAACGCTGTCAGCCCATTGTAGAAAAGCAAATAAATAAAAAACAAATTTTCAAAATAATTAAAGTGTTATACAGACAGACAGTCCCAGAAATCAAATGTTGCTTATAAATATTGATTCCAACGTTAAAAATATCATAGTATAAATATAAATAGGCACAAAATATTGCGCTAAAGGTTGTCTCACAAATGTGCATCCTTACCAAAACGAATTGGCATACAAATACGTAAGTAAAAAACAACAACAACAACAACAATCAAATTAGATTAAAACACAGTTCTATCATTCCCGATTTCAACACATTAACTTAATAGAAATCACTCCTGTAACTGTAACTCAAGCCTAGTGTTCTTGTGACTAAATTACATGTAACAAAGGTTATTATTTTTGTTTGTCTGGATTTTTGATTTATCATTAGACCTCTTAAATTCATTTCTTATTGGCTTATTGACTTATTAACTTAAATTTGCACTGTTTTATGTTTTTAGTTTTGTGTACCTCGAGGAATAGTGGTTACCAGTCGAGCCTACGAACTGTTCATACGAAGACCAGAATTAGCTCACGCTGTTAGGTTACTAGAAGATATAGCTTGGTAAGTAAACAAAGCAAAACTTCGTCTAAGGACTTGTTTTACGAATTCGTAAAAATACGTTGGGGCAAGATATCTAAGCTTTAGTTACTACAATACGAGATATAACAATTTCAGGTACAGCAGTACAAGGTATCTCAAAATATTCTTTGATATTTTTCCGAGGTTGGATGAAGTAGTAATTTCTATATTATAGTAAATTAGTCGTCATTTGTTTACCATGCTGAGTTGCTGTCGACAGTGAGTTAACCATCCACTGTTCACTGTGTTTACCATGCTGAGTTGCTGTCGACAGTGAGTAAACCATCCACTGTTCACTGTGTTTACCATGCTGAGTTGCTGTCGACAGTGAGTTAACCGTCCACTGTTCACTTT